TCTCCGGTACTTTTTTGTCCGGAAGTGTTCTCAGAAACTGTTCACCAAACTAAGTTAAAACCTTTTTAGGGTTAGTAGGCATGTTGTGTAGATGTGCCGAACGAAGGTCATTTTGCGCGCACGTGCTTGCAAGAGCACGCACGTGCAACATGTAAAATGACCGATTTAATTGATATAGGCGTAACTTTTTTAATCTTTGATGAAATGCTTTGAAACTCATAATGTAAGGATATATTAGTAATATAGACAATACGACATGGTCAAAATAGCAAGATCTCACGCGCATGCACGTGCGCTTTGCTCTGATTGGCTGAAACTAAAGTCTCAATATCTTTCTTGTTTTTTGAGGAAATCCTTTGAAATTTTGAACAAAGCCATGCATTAGGATATCCTACAACATGATATATAGAAATTATCATGAAAACACGTGCATGCACGTGCGCTGCAATCTGATTGGCTGAAAATTTAAAAAGCTATAACTCCCTTGGTTTTCAACCAAACAGGATGGGATTTGGAACATAGATATATAAGATGGACTTCTACAAAAAGGTATGGTCACCATGCACATGCATACACGTGCGTGTTCGTGAGCTGCAATCTGATTGGCTGAAACTTTAAACAGTTATAACTTCCTTGGTTTTCAACCAAACAGGATGGGATTGGGAACATAGATATATATAATGGACATCTACAAAAAGGTATGGTCACCATGCACATGCATACATGTGCCTGTACGTGCGCTGCAATCTGATTGGCTGAAACTTTAAACAGTTTTAACTCCCTTGGTTTTCAACTAAACGGGATGGGATTTAAAACATAGATAGATTTAATGAACTTCTACAAGAAGGTATGGTCACCATGCTCATGTATGCACGTGCGTGCACGTGAAATGGGTAAAATCAAAAATACACTTGAATGACCGAATTTTTTAATTCTTTTAAATTAAATACTTTAATATTTAGTATATTAAAATATATAGATTGTATAGACAAGATGATATGGTCATTACGTACATGCCTTCACATGCGCACACATGCAATGCTAAAATTTGAATGAGCATGGTACATTTCTGGGTAAACATTGTTAAAATCTCAAATGCATAGAGTTTGTGTTAATAAATGAAGCTTACAGGGAATATGGCACCAAAAGGGAGTTGGGGAGCGTTTGGGGAACATCTGTAACGGTCCCCGTTACAATTAGCACTAGTTCATATTGATATCCATTCATTTTTTTTCTGTTGATAGAAATATTTTGTAAACTTTATGAAAAATATATTTTTTAAAATGAATTAGAATATTGCGTTACAAATAAACTATCATCGTCGGAAATCCACGAGTGATCTCGTCTTTACATATCGCCCGGTGATGAGTAAAGATGAGATCATCCTTGGGTATCCGATGATGATAAACTATAGGCTATAAAGAACAAAAAAAAAAAAAAATGAAAAATCGTATTCCAAAAATAATGCTTATTGAGTCGAGAATTTCAGCTTACCAATGTGCAAACAATTATGTTTCCCGTGACTTTCCGCTACATGTAACTATAAAACTTATTCTTCTAAATTAGGTGAGGTCTCTCGCGTTCGAAGTTAATTAAAAATGTACGAACGATGCATGATTATAATTTTATCTAACAATGAATTTTAGATTATTCACATCAAATTGATTTTTAAAGTAAAATTTTGTACATTATGAGATATTTTGTTGATGAACACAGAGAGAAATCTTATTTTAACTGTTAACATATTTTTGAAATTATAGTCCGTCGGATGGAACGTTAAATAGTTCCCTATATTAAGATTATCAACTACATGTATTTTGCATGCAACAGATAAAAATTTCCCGCCGATAATTGCTGAAATCTTGCTGGCTCGGCGTCAAGCAAAATTCAATCAATCAATTATTTGTACATGTATATTTACTTACTAGTATTTATTTTTCTACATTATGGATAATAGACATTTGATGAAAAGACGATTGGGTTTTTACTAGGAGGGGGGGGGGGGGTTGTAATAATACAAAGACACAGTGGCTAAATTTTTGTCGAGCTATCCGTCCAATTACAACCAAACGAGAATGATGTGGAGGAAAACATGGTGTATATTTATGAACTAGCTATTTGAAGGTGAATGTGGCTGCAGTAGAAACGGTTTTAGGGAGAAAAATCCTAATAAAATGAGCTTACTTTTAGACACAGGGGTAGTATCACATCATGCATGTTTGATTTCACGTAATCACTTTGTATAGACAGATGGATGTGATTTTTTAAATTTAACTTTAGAGTAATTATTGTAGTGTAGCGGACAGTATAAATAGGGAACTTATACTGCCTCGCTAGTGAGCTAGCTTTTCTGGTGATGCGGTAGAGTCTCCCTCTATTTCAGGCAAATTAAGCAACGGCGAGCCTGTTTAACCCTTGGATGGGTGACCGCTTCACGTTACAGTATAGCATGATTTAAGTTGTGAATTTATTGGCTGCATGGTTCATGTATTTTGCTGTAATAAACAAGGTATTCTGAGATCGAATTCGAATCGCTGTAAATTTTGACTCGATCTACATTGGTTCCCTTTTCCTTTACATGGTGATTACGTAAAATCAAACATAGTGTGTTAACTAACTTGCATGCTTTGAGGATACAGGCTTTATCAAACTTAAAAGCAGTATAGTGTAAATCTATATTTTGTTTATTGGAAGTTCAGTTATTCATAGAGACAAAGCTGTCGGTACGAAAGACAGAAAAGTAGAAATTAAAGATCGGGGGGGGGGGGGGGAGAGTATTCGATTTTTAAAGGATTTAAAATACAGTTAACACAGTTTTTGGGATTGTACATCATGATCATCTGTTCTTGTCATTTATTAAGCAATTCTTTTAACTTAGACTTGATGACCGCTTGGATTGCTACGCGTTGACAGGTGCCTTACCGAACAACGGAGAATAAACCATGACGTCACAATTGAATCCTGGAAAAAACCACGATATACTCAGAGTTAATTTTGCAAACATACCAATTTCAAAATGTAATAACTTTGTTATAAATGGAGATATTTTGATTCCGTTTTCAGTTTCTGTAATGGTTTAACTTGGACCATTAAAAAACACAAAAATCTCAAATTCGATAAATTATGCCATAAGGTCGATTTCTATCCGACGAGGCTCAATTGCAGAAATTACACACAGACAGCTAGTGTTACTTACCCGATAAGCTATCAAATGAGTGACCACTTCCCCTCTTCTGCCATCCAGCATCTACGTTAATTCTTCGGTTCTTTCAGTTCTGAAAAAAAATGTTTTTTGTTTTATTTTAGTTATTTTATTAAGGTCTTCCGTTTCAGACGGAAGACCTTATAGAGATTCTACTGTTTTTTCTTTTTATTATGTCGCCCCGAACGAAGTCGGGGACGACATATTGATATTGTACGCATGTTTTTTTTATCCAGGCTGTTTCTCGGAGATGGCTGGGGCAATCTTCCTGAAACTTTCCTCAAAGGACGATCACTGGTTGTAGTTGTGCAGTGAGGTCGTTCAGTTCCAATATGTCTACCGTTGCCATGGAAACCTGTAAAAAGCGACGAATTTTGTCCGAGAGTGTTCTCTCTGGTCCCTTAAACGTTCGTCATGAAACTCTTTTTATTTTAATGATTAGTATCTGTAGTTGTGCGCCTTGCATTTAGAATTTTCAAATAATCGATTATTGCCATGGAAACCAGGGGAATGTTAAAATTCTTTAATTTCGATTTTCTCCACAACTACTCAAGCAATCGTTTTGAAACTTTCAATGTTAATTCCTTGCAATGTGTCAAAGTGATTTTTACTTTTAAAATAATTGTAATGAGTCGCTCACAGTTGTCATAGAAACGAAACAGAAACAGGTTAAGATGTACACATGTGTTCCAAGGTCTGAGGTCAAAGGGTCAAAAGTTCTTCGTGTCCAATAAAAGTTCTTTTCACAAGGATTACATATTTGAAATACGAAAGCCCTAGCCCTTACCGTTCAAAGGTAAGGTACTATGTTCAAGACGACCCCCCCCCCCTTTTGAAGCGCACTGCCAGTTAGAATACACATATCTAACATATACAACTTACAAGTGATGTTTTAAAAGTTTCATTCATAAAATTCAGTTCTCCTGATGTGATTTCATAGTTTGCCAACCTTCATTCTTCTTCTGTCTTGTCTCTAGATGTTATAATTATTTTATTTTATCTATATATATAAAATAACGATTGTCAACTGCATTTATTAGCATTTCGCTTTTTTTTTTTTTGTATATCTATTACTTGTATATTATTAATTTCATTAGATAGTGCAAGTATAAATTAGAAAATTGGTACGTTATTTCCATAGTTTTTATTCATTCATAAATCCTAGGATCCGCTCCTATAGGTGTTACGATGTACAAATTAATCTGATTCTTATTTATATTTACAAAATAAAAATAAACAGTTTGCTTCTAGTAACAGCTGTTCAGAAATAAAATAAATTGTAAAAATTCTCAGGGTTTAACTACTAAAACATCAATGCACAAACCAAATTCATTAATAACGTTAATAATAATAATGTTAAAAGAAATGTAACAATAATTTTCGTTTCTTTTTTTAACTATACAAACATTGGTTATTAAACTGTACGAGGTGAATAGATTAGCTTAACACCCTTCCCCGCAGTCACTCATTTTAACGCATATACCATTTCCTATTTCTAACGCAAAATCACGCATTTACCGTTTCCCCGCAATCACGCATTTTCACGCACTTTAAAAAGTTGATTTCATCTTTATTTCATTGCCAAATTCCAACTATTTTGTACTTGCTTGAGTCTCATAAAATAAGAAAAGTTTTTTTCTAATTAAAATATTATTTCAGAGTATTATTTACGCTAAACTTTAGAGAAATTTGTACCCCGCTATAAAGTGCTTGCGGGGAAATGGTAAAGTAATATTTCTATGATGCAAGGATTCGATGTATGTTGCATAGCAATTCTGTAAGTTGTAAAGAGTTAATTGTAGAGTCAACGGATTGTTACATCTTCGTAAATGCTCCAATTTTCCTCAGTTACCGTCTCCCCTTCATTGAACAGATTGTCTTCTTTTGAATTTGTCGAAGAAGAATTTTCATAAAGAATGCTTTCTCTTTCAGGAAAATTCGGAACTGTATATATTTCTGTCGATTCAACAATATTTTTGGCTTCATGTAAATGTTCTCTTGAATATAATTCTCTTTCTTTTATTTCTCTGTTTTTATTGATTTCTAAATAAGAACTTTCGCTGGGGAAAGTTAAATCTGTATAATGTTCTGGCTGGGCAGCCATTAGAATGTTCAGGTCTTCGTATTCAATCAACTCTGGTGAAGCATCTTCCTTTCCTGAATGCATGCCTACAATAATATAATGAATTTATGTAACTTTCAAAACAAAAGATAAAAGTGTTTTATTGTTTTAGAGTGATGTACAAGTTTTTAAAATACTTACCACCGAAATCTACCACAAAATCGTTTTTTGTATCATCTTCATTTCCCTTGTCTTCATTTCCTACCCTAGAGGTATCCCCATTGTTGTTGCGGGCCGAATTCATTTCACCCGTAGCCTCTCTTACGTTGCTTTTTCTGTTGTATTTTACGGAACTGTAGGGCCTAGCCTTCATATCCACACCATTGTTTATTCGTGATGATGTCATGTTTGAGTCCTTTGAGCTATCGCCTAAGGTTTTGAACTTAATGAAGTTTTCATCGGACCAAGCATCTTGGTACTCGTTATCTGGATTTTCAGTTTTATTTTCAGTGATCTCTTCTTTATGTTCATCGTTCATATTTGGTCTGGTACCTATAAAATTAGCTTAGGAAGTATTCACAAGAATAATTCTTTCTTTATCTGATAGCAATTCTGTATTTTGATGCCATTATTGCAAACTAAAAGTGTAAAATTCAACTGTAATTGGAAACAAAATAAAAGAAAACGTAATTTGATTTAACTACAAATGTATAATACCATTTCCAGGTGTTATATTTCTTAATTTTTCATCATGCAGTGCCCCGTTTGCTACCAACAATCCAGTATAACCGTTGGTATTGTTAACATCTTCAGTGCTTTCATTGTTTGCGTCCGACAAGGTAATGTTATTCCTCAGCGTATTTTCTACAGTGGAAGTATATTTACAAATAAATGTCATCATCATTATTGTTTTTAAATATCAAATTGCCCATCCTTTTAATGTTACGGTTTAATAATCAATTATTTCTTAAATAAACATTATACCTGATATACTTATGCGCCTGCCAGCATCTCGGGTTTTTATTCCTATGTACCTATTAATGTACAAATAGAAAAAAAACATAACAACAATAATATGAATAAAACGAAATAGACTGCCATTAGTCGTTTTATTTTAATGAATTATGCTATAAATAGTCTGTCAATCGTACCATTTTTTAACAAAGTACATCATTATAACAACACAAAGTGTTCCAACAGACCCCGTCACTGTGAAAAGTGTATTTTTCCAATATGAGGATGATATCATACCAGTCGACAAAACTTCCTTGACTGATGTTGAAGTAAGGGAAGATGAAACAGACCAATCTGAATAAAAGTAAAAATAAAAATCTTTACAAATATACAGAATCACCCAGGATTTAAAGTAAGATGTAATTTTCATCAAACGAGTCGTATGATTTTTTTTTATTCCCAAGCCTTGCCGAGAGGATAAAAAACACAACGATTTGTATAAAAACCATATCCAACGACCGACCATGGGATATTCTATTTATTGCATGTTTAATACTTCACAAGCAATGTTTAACATTGTTTTTATATATGACTTCACTTTGTTTTACTTCATCACGCTAATGCAAAAACAATTGTTTCTTCACAACTGCACCTGACCTGTGGTATATCAAAAAATCTCCAATGAGTGATATCCC